ATGTATATATATATAAAGGAAACTGGCTTCGCTTCGAGGCTATTCGCAGCGATTCCGCGTCCGGTGTGGCCCTGGCGTAAGAGCAACCTGATAATAAGGAGTTGCAGTAATCCAGCGTAGAGGTAACAAAAGGATGGACCAATTTTTCTGCGTCTTTTTGAGACAGGATGAGCCTAATTTCTGCAATATTACACATATGATTATTATTAACACCTAGTACTGAACTGGTATACCTTTGCTGCACAATGACATCTCTTCTCTGTTATTGGTGACCTCTTGGTTGTGTGTGCTGTTGGTGTGGACCTCTGCTGTTGTTACACCAAAATATCCTTTAGAAATGATCAGATCTATCGTGTCTGTTGTCTTTCAAGCTGTCTTAAATGGAACTGTTAATGTGTAAAAATATGTTAATACCTGATCTGCAGTTACTAGCACTTGGAAAGTGTAGAATAACACATCAGAGAATGTCAGTAAGCCACATACACTTGCAGTACAAACCTAAAGCTAAAATATAACCTTAAGCTGAAGTAGTGATCCCAATAGTTGAACTTTAACTTGTTCTTACATTTCTGAACAACACTACAAAACTCAGAGCACTTATCCCTTTGAACAGTTTTGCACTACTTATGGTTTTAACTTTGGCTTCCTGTGTTTCCTGTCCTACAGTGGAGGAGTCAGACATAATTGACTTGGAGAAGCGCTACTGGCTTCTGAAAGCCCAGTCCAGAACTGGCCGCTTTGACTTGGAAACCTTTGTCCCGCTGGTCTCTCCTCCTATCCATGCCTCACTGAGTGAAGGTAAGACAATATTGATGTGTGTTTTTCATGTCTAATTGGTTTGTCAAGTTTATTCAGGTAAATCTATCAATTCAATTATCATTGCCCTGTGTAGGTCTTAAGGCTTTTAAATCCAGTCCCTCACCACTGAATACAAACCTCTTCAATGACTTGCTCTTTCTATGAATATTGTTATTGATGTTGTTTACCAGGTTTGTTTCACGCCTTCGATGAGAATAGGGACAATCACATCGACTTCAAAGAGATCTCTTGTGGACTCTCTGCGTGCTGTAGGGGGCCCATTGCTGAAAGACAAAAATGTAAGCTAATTAAGATAAGTAAAACCCAGACACTTGACATACAAAGCCTTTTTACCATAAGGAATCCAGTCTATTTGTTCTTTGTAGCTGTTGTCTGGAATTTGAAAATTGAAAAGTAATAATTTTTTGATGTGTTTGATGTTATTTTAAGTGTTGATTTGTGCTGTAGCTTGTTAGTTCACAATTGTCATCTCAATTTTCATTGGTGCTTGAAATTACATAATGTTACATACATTTTTGGATTTCCTGCTAATAGACTAAACAGCATGGTGTTGGTTGGGCTGGGCGATATGGCCTAAAAAAAAAAAAAAAAAAATCTCTGATTTTTTTTTTACAACAAATCCAATTCACGATTTAAATCAATTTTCAGAAGAATATTTGTGGCCTGGTAGCACGTACCTGGGGTCCAAAACTTGAATAAACCCTGGGTTTTCCACGGTATATATGGGCACCATATCTCTTGCAATATATATCGTGACTGCATCCATGATTGCTTCCCACCGGGCCCCTTTCTTATCATATGGGTGGNGGGATTACCTTTCCTATAGAACAGGTCTTTACCTTGTCCTTTTATTAAACAAAATAAATAGCCTTATTAATTTTATTTTATTTACACAACAGCATGTCATTTCTGTCTCTACATTCTGTCTCTACAATCCTTCTCTGCTCTCTGTATCGCGCAGGGCGGAGTTCGGCCCCGATGTGCGTGCGCACACACACACACACACACACACACACACAGGTGAGCACACAAGAGCGTGGCCCGGGACGCATTTTCCTGACAATTATAACCGAGCCTGGCCAGAACTGGAGCGGAGCCTGTGTTGCGTTCAGGCGTTGTCATGTGAATAACAAATTCCAGTACTTGAATAGGGATATTTTCGTAGGGAGCAACACCTTTCCCACTTGGCAGCATGCCTCTGTTTGAGGTGCTGCAGTGAATTGGAAGTACTGCTACCTTGGGTAGCAACAGCCTTCAAACACACTTTGCAGCGTGGTGCTGTTTGTTCTGTGTCTGACGTCCCAAAACCGAACCAATTCCAAATAACTGAAGAAAGGGAACGAGTTATTCCCTGCTCGCTGCCATGTTCCTGTGTATCAAGCGCGCAGGGGGGAGGTGTGAGCCCACTCTGAACTATGGGAGCCCAGTAGGGAGTGTCGGTGGCAGATGTTAAAGAGAAATTCGATTTTCATTAAAACAATTCGACCTAAACTACAAATTCGAATTAATTGATAAAATTGATTTATCGCCCAGCCCTAGTGTTGGATTGCTAGGGAGTATTGTGCTTCAAAATCATATTTGCTTTTCTCCACTAACATCGCTGTCTTTGACTGCCAGTTTGCTTCAAAGTGTTTGATCTGGACCGTGACGGAGTTCTGTCTCGAGATGAACTCCATGAAATGGTGGTGGCCTTGCTAGAGGTGTGGAAGGACAATCGCACAGACACACTCTCTGTAAGTACACACACTAGCACACTGAATGTATGGACTGTATGTGGACAAAGGCCCCTGCTCTACAGAGTAGAGTTATCAAAGTTGTACTAAACATCAAACTTTACGTCATTATCTCTGCCAGGTGTAAGCCAGGGTGAAATCAGCTCTGCAGCTAATTTTGCACACCACTGGACGTTTTTTTGTCTGTTCTAATAGTGTTTCTTGTTGTTACTTCCTACTTTGTTGTGCTGTGGCCTACAGACAAAGTTACTGTCATTCAAAGTCCAGTTATAAACACATGGGTCAAAAAATTTCTTACTGTTTTAGAGGCATTACGCATGCTGCATTTTTGCGCCCTCAAATTCGATGTTTTTGGTGTAGACGTGCAGCAGACGTGCTCAAACGCCAGAGCAATGACATTGTGGCATGCACCTGTTCCCTAGTGCTTATCCCAGCTAACACTGGGAAAAAGGGGTGGTACACCCTGGATAGACTGCTACACGTATCACAGGGCCGACACACATACAGACGGACAACCGTTTACACTCACATTCACACTTGCACACAAACATGCAAAAGGCCAAAACCCACCAGCAGTAAACGGCGCGCATCGCAAAATATGCCCCTGTTATTTTCAGTGTACAACACCACACCCATGGCTATATGCGCATCGGCACTCTTGGGGATTGTGCCTTGTGGCACTTCATGCCACTGTCCTATTTCCAGCCCCAACACTCCTGCAATTAAATGCAACTTCTCTACTCACCAAGGATGTATAAAGAGAACTCTGTTGCTGTTGCTGTATCCTGTGTGGCAAAGAATGGATGACGAGGGACTTGTTGTTGAGGTTGAGATATATTCCAAGCTAAACGATCCACAGTCCTGACATTATAAAGACCATGGCCAAAAAGACATTGCCTGGTGAGTCATAGCTCTGGAGATTGGCTCTTCAGGTCAGATGTTAACTTTTATTGATTTTACAATAATGAAGAAGTATCTTCAATATGAAGATTGAAGATAAGTGTGTTGTCATCTGTTAACAAGCTGCAGCACGGCACGTCAGTCATGTGCTGGGGACAGCACTTAACATTAGTCACATGATGCGCCACACTGTGGCGGCACCAATGTGTTTCAAGCTAAACTCCACACAAAAGGGCCCCTGCCAGCCTGCAGATTCCAACCTGGAACCATCTTGTTGTGAGGCAACAGTGCTAACCACTGCACCACTGTGCCAACCAGCATGCCCACCAGTTCCTGAATACTGACCTATTTACAGTGTGTAGTTTATCAATTTAACTCATACATCAATAGAAATGTAAATTTGACCATTTGTTGTTAAGTGTTGGAACTGTTTCTTGAAGAACAATAATTTATCCATGTAAACAGCACTTCTTTGCAGCATCTCTGACCATAGCTAAGGTTCACAGATGCGGTCAAAGAAAACAGATTTTGGTACCAAACCTCAAACCTGGCAGCCTCACTATGACAAGACTCCAACAAGCTGTAGTCACTGCGCTTAGCTATTGTCTACTGTTAATGTACGCACAGACAAGAGACTAATATTGATCTTCTCATCTTATTCTTGGAATAATAGACTTTTTCCTAAAATGGTAAACTATTAGTTTAAAGCCATGAGTGCTGGCTTAAGCTGATCCCAAATCGGATGTATTTATGGCTGTGATTTCATTGCAGTTTATTTTAAAGATAATGCTAGCAGATGAAACTGCTGGGCAGTCTAAAAAGACAGCACAGTGCAGGGATTGTCTCAGGAATTTTTATTTTATTATTATTATTATTTTTTTCAAAGAACAATTTTATTGAGCATTTTTCAATGTAAAGACAAGACTAATTAAATAAAAATAAAATCTTAGATCTTAAATCTTCTTAAAATAAATGACAACAACAACAATAGTAATAATTAAAAATAAAGTAAATAAATAAAAATGTACCCCTCCATTTCAGTCAGACAGCACAGCATACAGTATGCAGCAAACATCCAATACATAATGCACTGTTCCAGAGTACAATATTTAAGTATGTTTCAACCAGGTTACAAATGAGCCCCATGTGCGCTCATATTGGTCCAGTCTGTCTATAAGAGAGTATGAGACTCTCTCATAGCTAGCCAGTTGAGCCATAGTAGTGGCCCACTCCTCATGGGGAGGGGGGCAATCCTTTTTACAGTGTCTCAAGAACACTTGTTTGGCTGTCGTGATGGCCAGAATGACCCACTTCTTTCTTTCTTTTCTTTCCTTTATTATGGATCCACCATTAGCACTTGCCGAAGCATGGCTATTCTTCCTGGGGTCCATCACATCCAATACATCCAACATAATACAAATCATATACATCTACATACAATACACATACAGTAGCCACAACAAACACAGTACAAAACATACAACATCACAACATAATACATCACAACATAATACAAATCATACACATCTACATGCAAAACCCATACAGTAACCACAATAAACACACAATAGTTCACAAACATTTAGAATCAGGTACAGTATAGAAAACATCTTTCAGAAATCTATACTTTCCAGTATTTTACATTTCATACTAAGTAAAAATAATCAAGGGTTTATTTGTCGGAAATTTTTCCTTTCTCATAATGAAAATTCCCTACCCCATAGTAGGGCTGTACCCAAATATTCGGATATTCAAATATTTGCTTCTATGGGTAGGTATTCGTTATGAAAATTTGGTATTCGATATTCATTTTTTTTTTTTGTTTTGTTTTTGTTTTGTTTTTTGTGTAAATTTACTTTTTTTTTTTTTACATATTTTTTTGGTGCTAAATGTAGTCTTTTTGTTGTTGATAAATGTAGGTTATCAATAAAAATCAAAACTTTTAAATTGCATTGTTAAAAATGTGAAAATATAGTATAGCCTACCAACTGAGCTTGTGCGCACGGCGCACTTGAGCGCATCCCTCTAACTTGTAGTTTTTTTTCGTTATCTTTTGAATTTAATATGAATTATGGAACCGTTTTTGTCAACGTTTGTTTCCCCCTTTTTGTACAATAAATTATTGTTTAAAGTTTCAACAAGTTTCTTTTGGAGTGTGTGACGTGTGTTTTGAAAACGGCCACGGACTGTCACCTGCTCAACGCATCAGTACCTTCGGATGCCATGACAGTAATAGATTATAGATTAATATATTATAATAATAACGTCAAAATATCATTTACAGACCGATTTAACAGACGATCACTGCTGCCTGACCCGCAGGTCCATTTGTGGGTCCTGCGGGTTACAGGTCGACCTGCGCATCACTACCCAGCTCAGTCTATAAAGGCTGTACACAACAGTAAGGATATAGACATTATATTCTATTCAGGCCGGCAGAACCAGCAGCGCATCAGCTCTACAGTGCACAGCACTGCTGATTAACCATTTTGTTGCAGCACAGAGTGTCTGCCAGCAACCAATTACTTGCAGAGGCTTCCTACAACTTGTTTCAACGGTTCTGATTTAATCAGAAGACAAATTAAACAGGATGACTAGCCAATGTGAAAATCAAAAGAAAGCATAGAATAATGTACTGAAGGAGACTGTTGTGCCATCACATTTTTTTGTGGTTTGAGAGCAAAGATCCGGTCACCGCTGTGCAAAACTCCGCAATACAATTAGGTCCGAAAACCCCCCGGAAAAAAACACCTCACCATAGTTCTATACGTGACCGTTTTCTGTGTGATGCTTGTGTTGACTTCGGGTAATATAAACCTTCCCTCTGTTGCATGTTGTTTTTGATATTCATGTTGAGTAAAATGATAAAGTAACTATCCATACAATATCCTTGGAGACTGTGTTACCCTTATGTTTCTAACAAAATTTAACAAAACATAGTAGGACCTCTGTCTTACAGTTAACCATCTCAGGCTGTCATGCATGTCTTTCACATTAGTTCCATAAGAACAGTGTAAAGCACAACGTGCTGCTTTGTTTTGTACAACTTGCAGTTTTGTCATACTCTTCATCAAAGCACTAGACCATATTACAAAACAGTAATCAAGCTGTGACAACACTAAAGCATTAAGAACCTGTTAAATGACATCTGGTGGCATACCTTTTGAAAGTCTTCTTATAACTGACACACCCCTTCCCAATTTTGCTCACAATGTTATCAGTATACTGAGACCATGATAGACTATGATTCAAAGTGATACCCAAAAGTTTAGTCTCTTGTGCTTGATCAACAGGAATGTTGTTTATATATAAGTTAAGTTTTGGTTTAGCTCTCAGTTGATATCTTGATCCAATTAATATAGACTTTGTCTTACCAACATTAAGCACAAGGTTATTACATGTCACCCATCCAACCACTGATTTCAACTCTCTCTCTCTAAGACGTCATTAACTATTTCTGTTGTTGATCCTGCTGCATATATTGTCGCATAATCCACATACATAGCAATTTGAGATTTATCTAACACCAAAGGAAGATCATTTAGGAAAATAGAAAACAGTAAAGGCCCCAAACAACTCCCTTGAGGTACTCCACAGTCAACTTGACTCACCTTTGGAAAAACTACCATTAAAGAAAATTGTCTGCCCTCTATTTGTTAAGTAGTTCTCCATCCACTTTAGTGCAGTAGAAGTGAAACCATAATGTTTAACAGGGCTCAACAATAACGATTGCCCGGGGCAAGTAAAACTCAAGGTCGGGCATGTAAACTAACAACTCACTTGCCCAATGGGGCAAGTTGCTAAAAATAGTAAAAGTTAATAACTAATTGATAAAATAAATGTATTTTAAAACGTGCTCTTCTGCTCTGATGCAGCGGTCTCTCTGCCTGAAGTCACAGGCACACGCTGTGTAACAATGTCCTGCCCACAGCCCCCATTGATGTTATTTTGCGCGACGGACGCTTCATATACACTGAACAAAAATATAAACGCAACACTTTTGTTTTTGCTCCCATTTTTCATGAGCTGAACTCAAAGACCTAAAACTTTTTCTACATACACAAAAGACCATTTCCCTCAAATATTGTTCACAAATCTGT